AAAAAAAAAAATACATGTATATGATATTCATTGAGTGGAAGTGTCACATCTGAATTTTGTGTAAACAAACAAATTATATAGTAGACACAGCAAAATGACTGTGTTGCCTTAATCATGAATAAATTTTTTTTTAGGGATTTTCCGATCAAGAGAAAAAGTCGGTGCTTTAATGGAGTTTGTTAGACAGAGTTTGGAAAATGATTGGATGCCGTTTATATTGAGTACATCAACTGGACAGAAAATAACAAATGAAGACGCTTTCTTAGTTGAATGTCAACTGGTAAGTATGTTTTGTCATATACTCGCCCCATATTTGTTTTATCCTACCAGAAACGTGTCAGGATATATATAGATCACATGAATAAGGCCATGAAAAAAATATTCATATGGGTGATTGTCGTATGTCTACTCATTGGATTTTCATGAAACTTACATAGCTAATATCCATGCATAAGTATTTGATTTGCATAATTAGTCAATTTTCAGCTTTTTCGCTGATATTTCAAGTACTATTGCAGGGGTTTTTCTAGAAAAATTGAACAAGAGGAATTGAAAACACCGGCGAGGTAGGTTAGGTTAGGTAGGTTAGGTGTGGAAGGGCGAATCGACCTGGAAACGCCATATCGGAAAGTTTCTGTGCTGTTTTAACAGTGTATCTAATTTTAGTGTATTCGGTGTCCAGACACATTGTCAGCTGGTGTTGCTGGGAAGTTTTCACGGAGAAAGATTTCATGTTGTACGGCAGCACGGAAGTGCGCAGCTCAAGAAATATATTTATGACTTGAAAGTTCAATCGGCAATTCGTAGAAGGTGCCAGCCGAGAGTATCAGGGCGTTGCGCCTGGTTGATAAAAACCCCTGCAACTGGTAATCATTACATTTCAATGAAACTTGGTGCATATATGCTCTAGGACAATGCACAGATCTGATTAGTTTGGGGTTAAAATCTGAACATATCAATCAACTAATTTGCATAATTATTTAATTTTTATTTTTCACACTGATATCTCAAGTACTACCGTAATTATTCCATTTCAATGAAACTTTGTGCATAAATTCTCAGTTCTGCTCAGTTTTGTGTTAAAATCTGACCATATTAATTGCCAGAAATATTAATGCTCAAATATTAGTTGCTAAGCTTATAAAGGCTTATATGCCGAACGACTGCATAAAAAATCAAATGATTTGGTTTTGAACTTGATTTTTTTAATTTCATAGTTCAGTGTTGAAATACTGATCTTTCCGAGGGGAATATAGCATTAAAATACTTTTATTTCCTCAAAATTCAACATCATCAGATGTGTAAAGTACATTATATAACAATAAATACCCCATACCCTGTTTTGACACTATTGCAATGCTTCAATCTGTGTTTTTACCTTTAATTTCACACGTAACGCATGGTCTTGAGGAGTTTGGATGCTAAACCAAATATTAAGGTAGCAAGACTATTATTTGTGTTGGAAATTACGATTTTCACATTTGTTTATTAATTGATGAAATGCACTATAAACTTTCATGTGATAAAGTCAAATTAACATAGAATGTCATGTAAGTTGGTTAAAATGTAGATTTTCTGAAGGGAAGCAAGGCAGCCTCAGTAGTGTTTTCCAAAATCAACAACACAGGTTTAATCTGTGTGCCTATAAGTTTCAAAGATAAACTCAAGACAAAGCAATGTTAGGATGTGTTATCAGTAGCTATCTGACACACAATTGGTGTTTCCAAACATTTGAGTGGTTTGTCTCCGCCCCTGTTTATTTCACAGATTAGTCATTTGCATATGAATGTGTCAGACACAAGGTCACACAGCCACTGAAAAAAATCATTGATTTTGGTGTTTTCATATGCCGAATTTATCCAATTATAGCTATCCCATTCCTTTATTTTTTTTGGTTTCCAATAGCCTTACACATTTGGATGTCCCTGCACATGTTAAAACAAACTTTGATGGGAAA